ACTCAACCTGAGCCCCTGCCGCCCACCCTGATCCCCTGCTGCCTACCCTGAGCCCCAGACACTCACCCTGAGCCCCTGCCCTGAGCCACAGATACCCACCCTGAGCCCCGGCCGCCCACCTGGAGCCCCTGGGACCAGCAGTTCTGGGATCTGGGGGGAGCACCTCATTTGTCCAACTCTGGGCCTTGCTGGTTAGGAAAGAAACCCAGACGAGTCTCATTTCAGGCCCAGGGACTGCCATGCCAGCGAGGAGACTGACCGCAGCCAGGAAAAATGACAGCAAAGCAGCTGCACCAAGGAGGTAGGTGAAGGGAACAGCAGTGTGGAGGGTGGGGGCGAAGGGTCGGCTGAGGAATGAGCCAAGGGCAAGAGGGCGTCCCAGGGCATCCTCTGGGACTTAGCAGGCATTGGAAGCTCTGCACCGAGGCTCTGAGGCTGGTGGTGTGCTGAGCACAGGAGGGCAGGGTGTGTGGGGCAGGAGCAGCGGCCGGTCCACCCAGGGTGGCCTGGAAGTGGGCCAGGATCCAGAGCCCACTGAGTGGCTGTCCGGGTGCTTGGGCAGCAAGCTGGCAGTCCTCGAGGTCACTGCACCTGAGGGTCTGTGGGCAGGTTTGCCCGGGAGAGCACCGCCAGGCCCCGTAGCTCAGGGAGAAGACGCTGAGCCTCTGCCTTTCAGGTGTGGGGGCATCAGGACCCGGGGGTAGCGGGACAGTAGGCAGGGTCCAGGGGAACAGCGTTCAGGTGGTGACAGCCAGAAGCTGTTGACACCCCAGCTTTACGGAGCCCCACATGCCAGACTGTGTGGGCACTGCCTTCCCTACAGAACCGGCATCCCCACCAGAGGCCAGGGAAGGAAGCTTCAGTGACCTGTGGGAGTCCCCACAAAGTCCTCTCTGTGTCTCTAAGCAAATCTGAAAGCATTAGGTCCGGGACATTTCCCAGGGATGGGTCTGGGTTTACCTAGGCTTGGCGTTTGTTTGTCTTTCTAAAAGGCATTTTACGGCCCAGCGAGGTGGCTCACACCAGTAATCCCAGCGCTGTGGGAGGTCGAGGTTGGCAGACCACCTGAGGTCAGGAGTTCGAGACCAACCTGACCAACATGGCAAAACCCTCTTTCTACTGAAAACACAAAAATTAGCCAGACAGGGCGGCACACGCCTGTAATCCCAGCTACTTGGGAGGCTGAGGCAGGAGAATCACTTGAACTTGGAGGCAGAGGTTGCAGTGAGCCAAAATCGTGCCACCGCACAGAGCGAGACTCCGTCTCAAAGAAAAAAAACAGACATTTCTTCAGGGTTTTTCTGGGCTGTTTTTAAAAATACAAAGTGGCATGATGAGTCTTCGAAGGTCATGCTGTGTGGCCCTCACCAGGATAGGTACCCCGCCACAGGCCACGCACCTCCCCGGCAGGTGCTCCTGTCCACTCACCTCCCCAGAGCCCCCCAACCCTGCAGGCCACTCACCTCTCCGGCTGGGCGCTCCTGTGGGTCACTCTGCAACCCCACCCCCCGCCGTGCACCCCCACCACAGGCCACTCACCTCCCCAGCCATGTGTTCCTGTGGGCAGGTCGGGGTGTCCCAGGACGCGCCCTGCAGCCTTGTGCTGACCTTGAAGAGCACACACTGGATGGCGGTGCCCGTGTTGAGTCCGGCCTGCAGCAGAAGCACCAGCAGCAGCAGCAGCAGGAGCACGTCATAGGAAGGCTGCAGGCAGGAGGAGGCATGAGCAGGCGGCCCGGCCACCCTCCGGCCCAGGAGACGAGGCCTTCACACAGAGCCGAGCCAGAATCGGAGCCCAAAGTGACCTTCACACAGAGCCGAGCCAGAATCGGAGCCCCGTAACTCAAACCATTGTTATTTCAACAACCTGATAATAATCATTCTAGCCCAATTAATGAGATTGATTCTGCTTTACATTCCATTGGCTTGGGTTCGACAGACAGGAATGCAAATGACCTGTGGACAGTTCTGGCTGCTGGTGGTCAAGTCACTCCACCCCTCCTGCCCCAACACTGCAAGGCTCAGTCCCAGAGCCAGCAAGACTGTCTTCAGGAGGCAAAGCGCTGTGGCTTCCCGTTCCAGGTCAGCAGGACCCTGGGCAGAGGAGAGAGGGGGCAGCGGTCCCGGGGGGATGGGGACACAGGCCCCAACAGCTTTACCCCTGAGCCCCAGCTGCTGGGAAGGAAGGGGCAGGAGGCAGCCAGGCGAGCTCAGCAGGGAAGAGGATGGAGGGGTCAGAGAGCGACCACAGAGCACCCAAAACCCTCTGTGACCCATGGACAGCTTTCCTGTGTTGGCCCAGGAAGAACAAATGCTAACACACAAAAGAGCCAAACATCTATCTGGAATCACTGCTAGGAAAAATAAGACAAACAGAATGAACAGCTCTTCTCAAGTTAATATAAAACTGTTTTTGGGGGATGGAATTTTGCTCTTGTTGCCCAGGCTGGAGTGCAGTGGCATGATCTCTGCTCATTGCAAGCTCCACCTCCCGGGTTCAAGCGATTCTCCTGCCTCAGCCTCCCCAGTAGCTGGAATTACAGGCATGCACCACCACGGCCAGCTAATTTTTGCATTTTTAGTGGAGATGGAGTTTCGCCATGTTGGCCAGGCTGGTCTCGAACTCCTGACCTGAGGTGAGCCACCTGCTTCGGCCTCTCAAAGTGCTGGGATTACAGGCATGACCCACTGCTCCTGGCCTGGATTTTAAGTCATTATTAGAAAGTCTGGTACTTGTGTTTCCAACCGGAGTTTACCCTGGAGGATGGCAGAGGCATGGGCCCCATGTGGCCTTTGCTCTTTAGTTCTTGAGACATCATCTGTTGCAAAGACCATGCTTTCCTCAGTCTTAAAAAAAAAAAGTCCAGAGCCATTAAGGAAAATACCAATTTAACTATATTTAAAAAAAACTTTCACATAACAAAAATCACAACAAGCAGAATGAGAAACAGCTGCCAGGCTGAGACCACCGTCTGTGTCCTCGATCACAGATGGAGCTGGTCTCCCAGGCACCAGGGTTAGCGGAAAATGGGCAGAAGACATGAGCAGAGTCCACTGAGAAAGCAATGCAGATGAGGCCCTCGTCATCACCCACATGGAGACAGATGTGCTCCCACCTCTGTCACCAAACCCTCATGCCATTGGCAGGAGGGAAGGTGGAAGGCCTCCATTGAGGAGTTCATTGGGATTTAACAGCCTTATAGCCGCACCTACCCTCTGCCCGGCAGGCTCTCTCCCAGCCGGATATCCTAAAGATTCACTGCACAGATTCAAAAGGAAGCTGCCTGCAGGTTGTTCACAGAGGAGCCATTTAAGTAGCAGACGGTGGGAAATAACTCAGTTTCCATCACTAGGGCCTGGCTGGGTGACTGGGCTACCTATGTGCAAGAGCGATGAAGGAATTCGGAAGAGCTCTGATCTCCTTGGGTATCAAGGAAATGCCAGGATAAATTATTAAGTTTAGAAAAACAAGCAAGGGGCTGGCCACAGTGACAGGAGCCTCTCATCCCTGAACTTTGGGAGACCAAGGTGGGCAGATCACTTGAGCCCAGGAATTTAACACCAGCCTGGGCGACAGAGGGAGACACTGTCTCTGAAAAATACAATAAGTAAATAAGTAATTACAAAGCAAGGTACATGGTTGGGCACAGTGACTCACACCTGTAATCCCAGCACTCTGGGAGGCTGAGGAAGGCGGATCACTTCAAGTCAGGAGTTCGAGACCGGCCTGGCCAACATAGTGAGGCCCTGTCTCTACTAAAAATACAAAAATTAGCCGGGCGTGGTGGCGCACACCTGTAATCCAAGCTGCTCCGGAGGCTGAGGCAGGAGAATTAATTGAACCCAGGAGGCAGAGGCTGCAGTGAGCCAAGATTATGCCACTGCACTCCAGCCTGGGTGACAGAGTGGGACTGTCTTTTAAAAAAAAAAAAAGTGAGGTACAGCATAGTGATTACAGCGTGCAAGCTATTTTGTAAGAAAGGAAAGAAAATAATTGTATGGTTGCCTACAAAGGGAGCAGGTCGGTCAGGGGCGAGACCACAGCTTCTCTGGGCACAGCTTTGATATAGTTTCGCTTTTGAACCACATATTTTATATATTCAAAAAATACCATTTTAAAAAGAAAAAAAGCACCAAGCCCTAAAGCAGAATACAACCAGAGACCATTAAACATAACTGAACATCAGATCCACAGGACAACCCCACACAAAAAGGGGCCTACTCAGCCAGCATGTGGCCGCCCCCTCCGAGCAGAACACACGCTGAAGGTGAAAGGGAGGCCTCGGGCCCACTCAGGAGATGGCCTGGGGTGGTAATCTTGTCTTTCGTAATCGTGAACAGTTACATGCATATTGTAAGATAAAATGAAGTAGCAGATATATTACATGTCACAGGAAACAAAAAATTTAGAGTATGTGTGGCGGGGGAAGCAAACATAAGAGTGTCAAGAAAAAACCCCGGGCCGGGCAGGGGGGCCATGCCTGTAACCCCAGCACTGTGGGAGGCCGAGGCGGGCAGGTCACAAGGTCAGGAGTCCACGACCAGCCTGACCAACATGGTGAAACCCTGTCTCTACTAAAAATACAAAAATTAGGCTGGGCCTGGTGGCTCACGCCTGTAATTCCAGCACTGTGGGAGGCCGAGGTGGGCAGATCACGAGGTCAGGAGTCGGAAACCAGCCTGGCCAACATGGCAACACCCTATCTCTACTAAAAATACAAAAAAATAATTAGCCAAGTGTGGTGGCACATGCCTGTAATCTCAGCTACTCAGGAGGCTGAGGCAAGAGAATCGCTTGAACCCGGGAGGCGGAGGTTTCAGCCAGCAGAGATTGCACCACTGCCCTCCAGCCGGGGAAACAGAGTGAGACTCCATCTCAAAAAAAGAGAAAAAGAAAGAAAAAAGCCTAAATGTTAAATTTGAATTGGAAATAACAAAATAAATGCATGATCCTTGAAAATACATGTATTTCCCAGCTGTGTCCACGAAAGGAACCATGAAGCAGTGGCACCATGGAAGGACGGAAGACATGGAGTCCCAGATCTTGACCCACATGCCTTTCCCAGCCAAAGGGGCCAGAGCCGTTCTGGGGCGAGCACAGGACGTGGCAGGCCTGTGCCATCTTCAGTCAGCCAGGGAACGTAGTGGCCGTAACAGGAAGACGCCACACTGGAAGAGGCTACCTCTACCCATATCTGGGCCAAACTGAGCATCAAGAGTGACAGTTGCAACACTAAAAATCATGAGAACCCCACGAGTCCTCCGGCTGCTCAGAGGAAAGGAGGGCTGCTGTCTGCGGTGAGCCAGCCTGCACGCCAAGGAGGAGTGGGAGATCTCATACAACCTTCTCGTCACCCGCCATGTGAAACAAACAATTCAGGCAAGCCTGCGCCATCCATGCTAGCCCACAGGGCACACAGGTGGTAAAAACAAGGGTCTGTTCAGTGCCGGGGCCTGAGGCCAAGAACCCCTTACACCTGCGGAGGGACCTGAGCTCCCCGGGGCACTCGCAGCTGCTACAGGGCGGGAACAGGGCCACAGGTAGGACCACCTGCCCGACAGTGAGCCTGGACTTCGGAGAGTCAGTGTCACAGGGACAGTGGGCACCATCTGGATGGAAGAGACGGAAGGGACACTGGAGCCAAGGCACAGTATCCACGGCACCCTGACCTGAAACCTCTGCACGGAAGCATCTTCTGAGGATGCGTCACTTTACGGAAACTGAATGTATACTGGATGTGAAGAGATACCCTGAAATCATTTCAGCCCACTTAGGTGTGACAGTGGCATTGTGGATGTGTAGGAGGCTGTTCTTTAGAAATGCTGAAGTTCTTAAGAGTGAAGGCACTTTGGGAGGCCGATGCAGGCGGATCACGAGGTCAGGAGATCGAGACCATCCTGGCTAACATGGTGAAACCCTATCTCTACTAAAATTACAAAAAATTAGCCGGGTGTGGTGAGGTGCACCCGTAGTCCCAGCTACTCAGAAGGCTGAGGCAGGAGAATCACTTGAAATGGCAGGCAGAGGTTGCAGGTGGAGATTGCATTGAGCCAAGATAGCGCCACTGCACTCCAGGCTGGACGACAGAGCAAGCCTCGGTCTCAAAAAAAAAAAAAAAAAGTGAAGCCTCCTCTGTCAAAGACTAACACTTTCAGATACTTCCAGAAATGGACACACAGGCAGTGACTCTATCCATCCCTAAGGCAGTGACTCCATCCATCCATCAGGCAGTGAGTCCATCCATCCATCAATCAGGCAGTGATTCCATCCCCCATCAGGACACACATGTTGACCTGAGAAACTGCTTGAGTACAGGTCTCCTAACGATTTGGGTGGCAATACCACTTATATTGGGGGGAAAAAAAACACCAGGTATCTAAGAAATACATCTAGCTACATACGCCTGAGCCTTCTAAGTCCTGCTGGAGATAAGTTCATACTGGGCCAGCTAGAAGTCATGGGACTTTGAATTCTCCTTAAATTCACCCATGAACTCAATGCAGTTTTGATGCAAATCCAAAAAGTGTGTCTCATAAACTCAAGACAGGTTCTAAAATGAGCTCAGGGAACATAGAGGGTCCCAGGTCCCTGTGAAGCAGGCGGTGGCCTCAGATCCAGGGCAGAATCGAGGCCCCGAGGCCGTGGGGCCAGGCTGGCGGCAGGAACGACATCTCCACTACCGGGGAACAGCAGAGGAGGCCCCGCCTGGAGCTGCCCCTGAAGCTGTCGCTCCCGGAGTCCTTCGCAAAGCCAGCAAGGGCCAGGCCAGGGCACCGCATGTGTAGAGGGCTCTGAAATAAAATACAACTCACTTTTATGGCTGGCGGGTAATCTTTAAACATCTCCACGATTCTCATGACGCTGAACGACAGATATCCAGAGGCTGTGAACAGCAGCGGAGATGTGAGGCTGCTTATGGCAATCAGCACCTCCACCTGGAAAAGGAGCGCACAGGGGGTGTGGCCAGGACTCAGTGGGGCGTGGCCGGAGCCTGGGAACCCAGGACAGGCGGGAGTGGACAGGGCTGGGGGGGCGTGGCCTGAGTGTGGGAGCCCAGGACAGGGGCGTGGCCAGGAGCCTGGGAGCCCAGGACATGAGGCGTGGCCAGGGCTGAGCGGGGCGTGGCCGGGCACTTCCTGGCTTAGTTCCAAGCTGATTCCCTGCGTGGCTCTTTCTGAAGCCTCTGCCTTTTCTTCTTTCTTTTCTCTTTCTTTTATTTGAGACGGAATTTCGCTCTTGTTGTCCAGGCTGGAGTGTAATGGCACAATCTTGGCTTACTGCAACCTCTGCCTCCCGGGTTCAAGCAATTCTCCTGCCTCAGCCTCCCAAGTAGCTGAGATTACAGGCGTGAGCCACTGCATCCGGCCTGCCTTTTCATTCAAAGCAAAATGCCACGAGTTTTAAAATATTTACCATCCAGGCGCAGTGGCTTATGCCTGTAATCCAACCACCTTGGGAGGCCAAGGCAGGTGGATCACCTGAGGTCAGGAGTTCAAGACCAGCCTAGCTAACATGGTGAAACTCCATCTCTACTAAAAATACAAAAACTAGCCAGGCGTGGTGGTGCATGCCTGTAGTCCCAGCTACTTGGGAGGCTGAGGCAAGAGAATCGCTTGAACCTGGGAAGCGGAGGTTGCAATGAGCCAAGATCCCATCACTGCACTCCAGCCTGGGCATCAGAGCAAGACTCTGTCTCAAACAAAACCAAGAAACAAAAAACTTTTACCTACAATTCTCCACTCTTGAAAACGTAGCCCTTCCGCATGGGTCACCTCCTTCACTGCTCTAAGGTCTGTCCTTTTAACACATCCCAAACTTTTCTGTTCGACCCATCAAGTCTCAGAAATAGCCTTTACTCATGCCAAGTGCAGCAGTAACCTTGCAGAGCACTCAGGCCCCACATTTTGGCAGCAGTCATTAACAATGGGCCAGCCTGAGGAGGCACAGATGACACTCAGGCACTGGTCTCCCTCTGTGGCTTAGGCACAGAGACCGCTCCCAGTGTCTACACTGCCTTGCTCACATTGGCCTGTCCCTGGGAACAGTCCCCCCTGGGCTGGAGGTGGCAGCCTATGCCCCTTACAGCCCCTGCCCTCCTCAGCCCGCAGGTCCTGCACAGCTAGGTCACTTCGGTCTCAGGCTGGAGCCTGGTTGCATGGCCCCAAGGGAGGGCTGGGCCAGGCCCTGGCCCCGCTCAGTGGGTCTCTGGCACTCAGGGGTTAGGACTTCACCTACCAGACACTTGCTAGGACACTCTGCTGTCACATGACTGGCAATGGCACTTGGAAAGCACTAAAAGAAAAGAAAAAGGAAAGATTTTGGAGGAAATAGTCCAATAAGTCAAATTCCAAGCATGTGCTCTCCCACAAGTTACCTCTCCATCTAGGCTGCCTGGCTGGTGCAGAGCTCGGGGGGTCGGTCCCCAAGGGCACAGCTGGGGCAGGGATGGGTCCACAGGGAAGCAGGGGTGGCCTCTCAGAGGTTTTGTGTGCTCTTTGTTCCTCAACCATTGGTTTAAAAATTTAAGCCTCTAAAAAAGCTGCAAGAGCAGTGCAGTAGGTGTCTGAGGGCCCCAAAGTCACCAATCCTTGACACTCACATCTGTGCTCTCTCCAGCCCTCCCAGACTGCCTGACACCTGAACACCTGAGTGTGCTGGCTGAACTCAGGGCACACGCCCAAAGCAGCACCACGCCCGAGAGACTGCACATGGGTCTGATACCATCCATGCCCAGATTCTTCCGATTGTCCTCATCATGTTCTTTCACTTTTCATTCTTTTTTTTTTTTTTTTTTTTTTTGAGATGGAGTCTTGCTCATCATCCAGGCTGGTGTGCAGTGGCGCAATCTTGGCTCACTGCAACCTCTACCTCCTAGGTTCAAGCCTCATGGGATTACAGGTGTCTGCCACCACTCCCAGCTAATTTTTGTATTTTTAATAGAAACAGGGTTTCACCTTGTTGGCCAGGCTGGTCTCGAACTCCTGACCTCAGGTGATCCGCCTGCCTCGGCCTTCCAAAGTGCTGGGATTACAGGCTTGAGCCACCATGCCCAGACCTGACCGTGTTCTTTCTATAGCTATTTGTTTGTTTGTTCCTGATCCAGGAATCAGTCAGCCATCACGCTCAGAATCTCCCTGTAGGTCTCTGTTAATCCAGGAGTCCCTTAGCCTATGTCACCTCCATTACCTGGACACTTCTGGGGAGTGCAGCCCATCAGCTGCAGTCAGGCCTCGTGTGGGATAGGATTTCTTCACTATGAGCCCTGGGGAGCCATGGAGGAGACTCTGCAGTCCCCCAGGGTGTGGACTGCTCCTTCCTGGTTCCTCTGTTGAATCAGTACCTCTTCCTTTTTATAAGCAAGAAATGCCCTTTTCCCACTTATTGTGAGGTGCCTGCTTTAGTTCCACACAATGGGCAGAGGGAAGTGCGGAGGGAGGACGGATCCTCTCCATGCTCTTCATCCCCCTGAAGGTGGGGGCTGCATCAGCCAGGAGCTCCAGTGAGAGGCAGAGCAGGACAGAGACGGGCTCCAAGCAGCACCTGATGGGCATGGGGTGGAGAGAGCAGAGTGGCCCCTGGAGCAGGATGGGTCTGCAGGACGGGAGGGGCCGTGTGGTGAGGGCTGACTGCAGGGACAGGGAAGGGCACAGGGCGAGTGCCTTCATTCTCAACTTTTCGGAGGCATTTGGTCTCTGTCCTTCCTCAGCTTCAGGATGTAACCCCTGCGTTTCAGAACCCGGGATTGGGTGTAATTCCTGCATTTCAGAGCCCAGGGTTTGATGTGCACACCGGCAGGCATCATTCTCTCTGTAACAGACCTGCCTGGGTGGGCACTCACGTGAGTTCTCTGTCTCAGTAGCCAGCCCTGGTCCTGCCCCTTCTGGGGATGTGGCTCCATCCCAGCTAGGCCGTGCCTGGGTCTCTTTCCCGCTCTGAGTCCTCTGTGGTTCACTAGGTTGGGCACTGGTGCCCTGGGGACATTGCTCTGAGCCCACTCGCCCCCACAGGGAGCTGAGCCACAGCTGCTGCCAATGAGATGTGTCCACCCCAGCCATACGGCTCCCAGGCAGGTGTGGGCCTTCTCGGCAGCTTCAGGAAGAGCCCCCCTACTGCCTGGGAGGAGCTCGTAGCTGAAGCCGGGTGCTCACCATGCCCACTCATGTATATAAGAGAAAGGGGCAAAATGTGGAAGCCCACTTGGCACAGGACAAACCAGGGGCTGGCCATCAACACCAGTGTGCAGGCCACTACTCAGCAAGTTGCCGAGGACTGTGCAGGGTCTGTGTCTGGAAGCAGGTGGGCGGTGGCTCTGGGGTGTGACACAGGCCGGAGGGGATCTGGGGTATGGAGGGGTTGCTGTAGACTCATTGTTCTGAGGGAACACACCTGTAATCCCAGCACTTTGGGAGACTGAAGCGGGCAGATCGCTTGAGGTCAGGAGTTCAAGACCAGCCTGACCAACGAGGCAAAACACTATCTCTACTAAATATACAAAAAAATTAGCTGGGCATGGTGGTCCATGCCTGTAATCCCAGCTACTTAGGAGTCTGAGGCAGGAGAATTGCTTGAACCTGGGGGGCAGAGGTTATAGTGAGGTGAGATCACGCCACTTCACTCCAGCCTGGGCAACAGAGTGAGATTCCATCTCAAAATAAATAAATAAATACACACAATAAAATAAATAAAACAGTGCCCATGTATTGTACATGCAGCATGTGCCAGGTGACATGTGACACATCTGCTATGGTAACATTTAATATAAAGCAATAATAGAAACATGCTGCATTGCATAAAACACATGCTATAATATAAATGCATTATATATTGGAAAATTATGTAGAATAGGTTGGGCCGGTGGCTCACGCCTATAATCCCAGCACTTTGGGAAGCTGAGGAGGGTGGATCACAAGGTTAAGAGTTCGAGACCAGCCTGGCCAACATGGTTAAACCCCGTCTCTACTAAAAATACAAGAAAAAAAAATTAGCCAGGTGTGGTGGTGTGCGCCTGTAGTCCCAGCTACTCAGGAGGCTGAGGCAGGAGAATTGCATGAAGCCGGGAGGCGGAGGTTGAAGTGAGCTGAGATCACAACACTGCATTCAGGCCTGGGCGACAGAGCAAGACTCCATTTCAAAGAAAAGAAAAGAAAATTAAAACAATAATAAACATTTATGGCCCCTATTCACGTTACAAAAATTAGAATAATAAAAATAATTGGTTTTTCAGGAAAAATAATATAAAATAATCATACAAACTGATATAAAAGCAGTTAATACTTCGACTCCTCTAATCCTTAACTCCCCAGTTCTTCTGGACTGAGGCCGGTGAGGACTCTCCTCGGTGCCTCCTTGTCTGAGTGCACCAAGACTGAGCTCAGGGCCCAGCCACGTGGGATCTGAATGGCATGGCCCAGAGCAGTGGTGGGCCGGCCAGAGGCCGTACTCACCGCCACTAGGATCCAAAAGAACGTCACCGAGAGGTGCGGGCCGGAGACCGAGTCGTCCACATTCAGAGCAATGATCCCCCCGAGGACAGCAGAGATGCCTGCGATCACCTCGACCACCTGGACGGGACGGGCAGCATCGGTTCACTGGGGCCGCCCAGAGGAAGTGGAGATGCCCCCAGATCCCCAGAACGCAGACCCAGACCCTGCAGACACAGACCGCAGGAGCAGGGTGCGGTGGGCTGGCTCTGGATCTAACGGTGGAGGAGCCCACCTGGATGGACCCCCAGCCTCACCTGGCCCAGCCCACTTCTGCCCTCAGCTGCAGGTTTTCACGTCCCATGCTTCCCGGAGTAAAACAGTAGAAGGGGTGTTTACCCCACAGCTGCTTTTGTCTACAGAAACTTAGGGTATTGACCTGACAGTGGTGAGGGCAGAAAAACAAGACCCTCAGACCCCCTTCCCTGTCCCCACAGTGAGACACTGGACCAGGCTCAGGAAAACAGGGCTGGGCAGGGGCAGCTTCCCACAGGACACGCCACCGGTGCCATGTGCCACATTGGAAATCACCACCCCTTTCCGTGGCGACCATCCACCCACCTGGATGTTACCACTCCTCTTCCAGAAATTTCTGCATAATCTGTCCCTTAATTAGCACATACTTACAAGTGCGTATAATAGGAGGCAGTGTCGTCTCTGAGCTGCTGCTCGGGGCGCACTGCCCATAGGGGAGCCCTGCCCGTGGAGGAGCTCTGCCCATGGAGGAGCCCCGCCCGTGGAGGAGCTCTGTCTGTGGAGGAGCCCCGCCCGTGGGGGAGCTCCGCCCGTGGGGGAGCCCCGTCCGTGGGGGAGCCCCGTCCGTGGGGGAGCCCCGCTCATGGGGGAGCCCCACCCTGCCCATGGGGGAGCCCCACCTGTGGGGAACCCCTGCCCTTGGGGAAGCCCTACCTGTGGGGAACCCCTGCCCTTGGGGAAGCCCTGCCCATCAGGGATCCCTGCCCATGTGGGCGCACTGCCCATGGAGGAACCCTGCTCTGCCAGGAGCAGCACCTCTGTTGCCACTGCAATACAAGCTGCCGTCTGTCACCACCAGCTCACCCCTGAATTCTTTCCTGGATGAAGCCAAGAACCCTCCTGGCCTAAGCCCTGGCTGTGGGCTCATCCGCCCTGCACCATCAGGGCTGCAACCAGCACCGCCAGACCCAGGTAGGGCTTGGAAAGAAACAAATGCCCAAAAACCTGCTCCCATGAAAAATAACTGTGAGACTCAGACACAGAGCTGTGACCGGCAGGAAAGCCAGGCATGAGGAGGCTTGGCCAGCAGGTGTGTGGGGGCCAGAGGGGACCTGGGAATGAGGGGGCCCAGCCAGCAGGTGCGTGGGGGCCAGAGGGGACCTGGGCAGTCCCTAAAAATACAGGCCTCACATCCGGAAGGCACAAAACTCCAGATGAACAAATAAAGTTGAATTCCTAGCCAGGCATGGCAGCTCACGCCTGTAATCTCAACACTTTGGGAAGCTGAGGTGGACAGATCAAGAGCTCAGGAGTTTGAGACCAGCCTGGCCAATAAGGTGAAACCCTGCCTCTACTAAACATACAAATAGCCCAGTGTGGTGACACATGCCTGTCATCCCAGCTACTTGGGAGGCTGAGACAGGACAATCACTTGAACTCGGGAGACAGAGGTTGCAGTGAGCCCAGATCATGCCACTGCACTCCAGCCTGGGCAACAGAGTGAGACTCCACCTCAAAAAAATAAATAATGAAGCTGAATTTCCACCTGACATAGACCATGGCCACCAAGCAGAAAACTCTGGAAACAGACCCCACACAAAGGACGGCACCTCGGCCTCTGCAGATGGTGGAGAGATGTGCTGCAGATGTGCCGGGGAGAACTGTCAACCTGGACTTCTCTCCAGGTGAACTGTCACTTAGGAATGCAGAGACCCAGCCCAACTGGAGAAGCCTATTGAAAACCAGCTTCTAAAGAATGAAGCTGAATGGGGCCGGGCGTGGTAGCTCACGCCTGTAATCCTGGGAGGTGGAGGTTGCAGTGAGCTGAGATCACACCACTGCACTCCACCCTGGGTGACAGAGCAAGACTGTATCTCAAAAAAAAAAAAAAAAAAAAAAGAAGCAGCAGCAGAACAGAAATGGACCCCAAGGGAGGATGAGATGCTAAATAAGAGGAGGCAGGGGCGCTGGGAAATGAACACGGAGCAAGTCAAGCGCACAGGGGGCCATCCCATTGTTGGAGGAAGAAATCGAAATGTCACTAAATCTCCCAGGCTAGACAACAAGACCAAGGTGGGAGCAAGTGGGACAGACACCGTGTGACGCGTTTTTCAAGGAGCGTGTTACAAGACGAAGGACAACTGCTGAAGAACACTGAAAAATTTCCCATTCAAAATTCGAGGGAAAAGGAAGGACAGAGCCTCAAGCAATTCAAAAGAAGATGGGGAAGTGGGGGCGGAGGGGAACGCATAGGGAAAACAGAAAGCTAAAGAGGTGGTGAAAATAAATACACAGTTATCAGTAACAACTCTCAAAGGAAATGGGCTACATTCAAAAGGCTAGGGAGAGGGAATGACATAAGATAAAGAACAAAATACAGTTACGGGCTGTTTATGAGAACTGTGCTAAAGTACAAAGCAAGGAAAGTTGAAAGGAAGAAGGAGGAAGAGGCCGGGCCTGGCGGTTCACACCTGTGATCCCAGCACTTTGGAAGGTCTGGGTGGGTGGATCACTTGAGGTCAGGAGTTCAAGACCAGCCTGGCCAACATGGTGAAACCCCATCTGTACTAAAAATACAAAAATTAGCCAGGTGTGGTGGTGGGCACCTGTAATTCCAGCTACTTGAGAGACTGACGCAGGGAATCGCTTGAACCCAGGAGGCGGAGGGGGCAGTGAGCTGAGATCGCACTGCTGCACCCCAGCCCAGCTGATGGAGTGAGACTCCATCTCAAAAAAAAAAAAGAATTCCTCGGGGACAGCAATATGGACACACCTACAGCGATCACAAACTCCCCCTAAATATTGCGGAACATCAGCACCTTTCATGTTAGTTACTAACGATACTAACAAAAGACTAGAGTCTCCGCAGATGAGGCTCATGTGGTTGTGCACGGTCTACGCAGCCAACTCAGCCATCTCGGAATAGAACCGTAACGTTTAATCTGGCCTCAGCCACTCCCAACAAAGTAAGAAAGAAGAGAAAGAAAATGGAAGTTTTTCTTACTGAGTAAGATTTGAGGACCCGAGCGGGAAACGGCACTTCTTCCAAAATGTTGGTGCTGTCAGCCATGGAGACCTAGGAAGACACATAACTGTCACCCGCGGCGCACAGGCATGGGGACTTGGCACTGCTGCTGGCATCCGGCCGCCAGGGGCCATCGGCCAGGTCAGCCTGCGGTGTAGACACAAGACCACCTCGGAGTCACCCGTGGACCTTTGGGCTCTAGGAAACACTCACACATTGTCCTTGCATATGGAAATGCGTTCATAGGTATTTGCACAATCCCCGTTGACAGGTATTTTTAGCAGATGTGGTGTCTCCTGGTGATACCCCTCAGGACAAGCACCTGACCGAGTCAGCTTTAGGGGGACGGGGAGGGGGAGGGGGCAGCATCCGTCCTCACCTCCCTGCATCCAGTGGCCACCAACCCCTCACCCTGCTCCAGACCCCTTCCTGGCCCTGGTCTCTCAGACCCAGAAGAGCAGGGTCTCATGGGACCGCCTCGGAGCAGCTCAGATCAGCCCTCCGAGGGTGATGCTGAGACCACCCCGCAGGTGGGGACGCGACGGGCACACGCTGGGACGATGCCACTGCATCCCCTGCCCTTCAGGGTCAGAAGCTGCACCCACCTTCTTCTGCTTCTTGCAGTACTCCTCGCTGGACCGTGCGGAGATGATCACCGTGGCCGCCATGAGCAGCTCCAGCAGGAGCAGCAGGATGAGGTTGAAGTTGATCTGGGGAGGGGACACGCTTCAGCACCCGGCCGCCTAGCTCATGCGACCTCGCCTCGGCGTGCACAGGACCACCTCACAGGCAGGCTGCGCAGGGCTCTCGGCCACCGCGGGCCCCACGTTTCCTGTCCGGGGCCGGCTGGATGGCACTCTGGGCCACACGCTGTCTCTGTCTCACATGGGTTTTTTGGGTCTTTTGGTTTTTAAAACCACTCTGAGTTCAAAGGCTGTACATAAACAGGCCAGGGCTGGATTTGGCCTTGGGCTCTGGTCTACGGATCCCAAGCTAAACGTTCCTTGTTCCCACAAAAGCCTGCACAGGAGTGTTTATAGCAGCTTCATGCATGATCGTCAAACACTGAAAACAGAGTTTTTTGTAGGGTAATGAAGTCACTGTGGGCCCTGACTCTACTGGTGGTGACGTGAATTTACACGTGTGTTAATAGTCATAGAACCACACATTTTAAAAAGTCAATGTAGCTGTCTGACATTTTTTTTTTTTTTTTGAGACGGAGTTTCGCTCTTGTTGCCCAGGCTGGAGTACAATGCTGTGATACTGACTGACTGCAACCTCTGCCTCCCGGGTTCAAGCAATTCTCCTGCCTCAGCCTCCCAAGTAGCTGGGATTACAGGCATGTACCACCACGACCAGCTAATTTTGTATTTTTAGTAGAGACGAGGTTTCTCCATGTTGGTCAGGCTGGTCTCAAAATCCTGACCTCAGGTGATCTGCCCACTTTGGCCTCCCAAAGTGCTGATATTATAGGTGTGAGCCACTGCGCCCAGCCGAGATTTTTCTCTTTTGGCATCATAATTTAAATGACATTTTCTCTCTTTTTTTATTTTTTGTTTGTTTGTTTGTTTTTGAGACAGCGTCTTGCTCTGTCTTCCAGGCTGGAGTGCATTGGTGCGATCTTGGCTCCCTAAACCTCCTGCATTTTCCCATTTTTATTTAGAGATACATGAAGCAACTGTCTTACAATCTGCATCACAGATTGGATGAAACGTGGTACTATGTTACCGTCAATTTTTAAGGACCATTGCAAAAGACATTGTTTACCAGCAGAATCACAAGGCTCAGTAAAGACGATTCTTTTTTTTAGAAGCATAGATAAAATTCTCAACATTTGTCAGACTCAAGAGCTATGAATAACATTTGCCACCTATTTCCAACTCAACAAGCGATATTTACTGACACCATGGATTGGGGTGTGGAGCTGTGCGTGTCAGGTCAGCAGGAAGCTCACGTGAACTCACGTTTATTGCGGATGGGTTCAGGACTAGTTTGCATCCAAACCAAATTAAACACGTCGTGGTCACAGCAAATGTGGAAACAAACAATATCTGAAAGTTGGGAATCTGGAAAACAAGGCAGGAGGGGTTTTCCTTCTTTGAATAAAGAAAGAAATAAAAGCAACCGAAAACCACACTTCAGGCCATTAACTAAAAATCATAATGGTTGGGCCACAGTGGTGGGGAACCCGGAGTGCTCAGCCCTGTCTCCTCTCCGTGCGGCAAAGGCTGGGCAGGGCAGGAGCTCCACCGTCGGCCGTGCATGCGCGCGCGCACACACACAGGCACACACCTGTCTGTCGGCCCCGCCAGCTTTCTTCCCGGCAGAGGCTGGGCGTGGGCTGGACTCACCACGTTGGCGTTCCTCCTGGAGACAGTGAAGCTCACAATTGCCGAGGGGATACACTGGAAAGAAAGTGGAACCCAGTGAGCCCGCGAAATACCCTCACACTTGCGCTTCCAGAAGGATTCGAGTCATATTCACAAAACCATGTTGCCAGTCCACGCAACACAGTGGGTTGACTTGACTAGAAGGCCCCCAGGTACTTCTTAGATTTAATTTTTCGTTGAGATGGGGTCTCACTCTGTTGCCCAGGCTGCTCTGGAACTTGGGGCTCAAGCAAACCATTCACCTCAACTCCCAGAGCCCCAGGAGCAGTCAAACTCAAGATTACAGGCCTGAGCCACTGCACCCAACCCCCAGGTACTTCCAAATAATTTATTCTGAAAGAAATGTTTATTTTTCTGATGTGCTAAAAGATATTTTTTAATGAAGGCTCTTCTAGCTGGAGAAGATTGGAAGTCCAGAACATAACTCACAAAGGCCCTAAACCTGGTCTTTGCTGAAAATTACCCAAAAAGGAAAAAGTATCGGCCAGGAACGGTGGCTCACACCTCTAGTCACAACTACTCAGGAGGCTGGGCCGGAAGGGTCTCTTGAGCCCAAGAGTTTGACGCTGCAGTGAGCTGTGATTACACCCTGCACTCCAGCCTCAGGGGTAGAGCAAGAACTTTTCTCAAAAAAAAGGAAGAAAGAGGACGCCGGTCTGAGGTGGATGGATCACGAGGTCAGGAGTCCAAGACCAGCCTGGCTAACACAGTGAAGCTGGGTGTGATGGCATGTGCCTGTAATCCCAGCTACTCGGGAGGCTGAAGCAGGAGAATCGCATGAACCTGGGAGGTGGAGGTTGCAGTGAGCTGAGACTGCACCATTGCACTCCAACCTGGTTGACAGAGCGAGACTGTCTCGAAAGAAGGAAGGAAAAAAAGAAAGAAGAAAGAAAGAAAGAAAGAGAGAGAGAGAGAAAGAAAGAAAGAGGAAGGAAGGAAGGAAGGAAGGAAGGAAGGAAGGAAGGAAGGAAGGAAGGAAGGAAGGAAGGAAGGAAAAAAGGAAAGAAGGAAAGAAAGAGAGAAAGAAAGTCAGTCCAGGCTTTTGTCAGCCCAGGCTGCACGGGGCCGGGGGTCCCTGCAGAGAGGACTGGCCTGCAGCCTGGCTCTGTGCACACTCACGTAGAAAGAAAGAAAGAAAAAGAGAGAAAGAAAAAGAGAGAAAGAGAGAGAGAGGGAGGAAAGAAAGGAAAGAAAGAAGGAAAGAAAAAAGGAAAGAACAATGAAAGAAAGAAAGAAAGAAAGGAAGGGAAAAAGAGAAATAGAGAGAGAGGGAGGGAGGGAAGGAAGGAAGGAAGGAAGGAAGGAAGGAAGGAAGGAAGGGAGGAGAAAGAAAACAAAAGAAAAGAAAGAAAAGAAAAAAGAAAGAAAGGAAAGAAAGAGAAAGAGAAAGAAAGAAAGGGGTGAAGGAAGGAGAAAGAGTCTACATGTGAAGGAAGCAGAAAGGAGTCCCAGAGCCCCTCAGCCTTCTTGTCCCCACAGAGCCACACCAAGGCTAGGAGTCCAGGGCCAGGGAGGGAGGTGGGGAAGTCGGGGCAGGGAGGTGGGGATGTCAGGCCCGCCCAGCCCTGTGGGCCTTGCTCCCGAAGCCATGGGACCCTGGACCTTGAGGCAGGGACGTAGGCAGGGGTGTCTGAGGGGCTGAGCACAGGACTGCTGGGTGAGGCGGCAGGAGAAGCCCCGTCGGGGCCTGAGTGAGGGACAGAGCTGGGGCCAGGACAGCCAGGCTCAGCTCCGCACCCACTCCGGTGCCACAAGGGCCCACGGTGGAGAAGAAAGGCCAAGGGCAGGGCCAGAGCTGGGCAGGGGCGGGCACTTGTGCTTGTCTGGCCGCCGCTGAGGCTGAAGGGGCACAGCCCACTGGGACAAGGGCCGCGGAGAAGCTTCCAGAGGGGGCAGCAGAGTGGGATGGGTCACCTGCTCCAAAGAGCTTTGTTCTAAGAGAGCAGAGACCCAGGACAGCAGGGTGCGGGGCGTCCACTTTGTTTTTAAGACATTTGGGGGGCACTGCTGGGGACAGTCACCAACAGGGGCCTTACAGGAAGGGCAGGGGCCAGAGACCCAGCAGGGGTTGGGAAGTGAGAGGAGGGGTAGTGCTCCTGGCCGGCTGAAGCGGAGAGGACACAGGGTCAGTGGCTTGTGGGCCAGAGCCCAGGGGTCCGCCAGCACTGTGCTGTAGCCGTTGGGACGCCAGGGAGGCCATGGCCACAGGGCTTACAGAGGATCAGGGGTCAACAGCTGTCTCTCCTCCACTGCTCAGAGGATCAGTGGGTACCCCCACCAGCCTTGGCAGTGGGTAAGGTTCCAGAAACACAGCACGAAGCTTTGGGAGGGTGTGGGGCACAGGTCTCAGTCCCCTGAGGGCAGATGCTGCCCGCTCTGGTAGGACACAGCGGTAGCCTCTGAATCAACATGTAATTCCCCGCACAGGCATCTGCAGATCAAGGTTCAGACCTGCTCCATCAGTCATCCTCAAAGGTGATGAATCCTACATGAAACTAAAGGCATATGAAGATTTTTTTGTTTGTCTTTTTTTTTTTCGAGATGGAGCTTCACTCTTGTTGCCCAGGCTTCTCAGTTCACCGCAACCTCTGCCTCCCAGAAGCCATTCTCCTGCCTCAGCCTCCTGAGTAGCTGGGATTACCGGCACCCACCACCACGCCCGGCTAATTTTTGTATTTTTATTAGAGACTGGGTTTCTCCATGTTGGTCAGGCCAATCTTGAACCGCTGACCTCAAGTGATCCGCCCCCCTTGGCCTCTCAGAGTGCTGGGATTGCAGGTGTGAGCCACCGTGCCGGGCGCATATGAAGAGATTTTAATGAGAAACAGGTGACAGAAACCCACACATCTCAAAGCAAGGAAACGAGCACGTGCTGGCAAGCTCAGGCACCCGCAGAGGCCCAGAGGAAGCTGCTTACAGAGCCTGCAGCGCAGCGCAAGTAATCCATCTCGGCAGGGAACACATTCCCCAGGTACAGCGAAAACCCCGAGGTCACGAGGAGGCAGCTCTGCAACACAGCAACAGGAGCCAGGTTACACCCGCCCATCCGGGCCGGACACGGACCCTTCACCTTCGGTTTCACTATCTGTGTGCGTTGGTGACTCACCCGCACCCCACAGCACCAACCGCACCTGCACCCGGGCCCTGTCCAACCTGGACTCCTCCCTGTAGGGCAGGTGCAGTCACACCGCAGCCCAGGCAATGGACCAGCCTCCCCTGGCCATGTCGGAGCATGGACCCTCACGCTGTGATTTGGAGGAGAGAAGGCGGGGGTATGCCAATATTTAGAGCAAGGGACAGCACCTCTTCCCCCAAAATGCCCCCCCAACATGTTGTGTGTGCAGAGTCTTCCAGATCCCACCCCCAGGTCCAGATATGAGACTGGGAAACAACTGCCCATCCCCCTCCCTCTGCAGAACCTAATTTCCAGATCTGGAAAATGATCCCTCCAGTCAGGGACTCCAGGTCCAGGGGGTCCCAAGCAAGGAAGGCCCTGCAGGAGGCAGGGATGGGGACTCTCTTTGACATGCACAGCACTGTAGGGTTAGACTGAGGGGGAGTCAGTGTCAAAGGTCACTGGGACCTGGGGTCCTGGCAGAGGAAGTGCCACCTGGGGCAGAGGGGCCCCGGCTGGGGCAGGGGAAGGGCTGCTACCCAGTCTAGGGCACTGGGCTGAAGCGGGCAGAGCCGGAGATGGCCGCCAGCACTCAGGAGCTGCCTCTGTCCCCAGCTCCAAGGGACACGCCTGTGTTGGCGGGCATGCTCAGGGCGTGAGAGGTGGGCAGGACCACTGTGGGTGCTACAGGGGCAACCAGCTCAGCCTGGGGCGCAGGGAGGGGAGAGATCGAGGCCTCATTCTCAGCCCAGGCTGCACAGAGCCTGGGGTCCCTGCAGAGAAGCCTGTCCCGTGGCCTGGCTCTGTGCACACTCAGGCCAAAGCGGCTCCTCCAATCATCTCTGTGCCCACGGCTGTGTGGGTAACAACCAGGACCCCAGGGAACTCCCTCAGACATCTGGCACTCCCCATCTGCCCCAGGCCTGCTCCCTCATCCACCACCTCCCTCCCAGCCGCCCTCCCCCCACCCCACCCCGCCGCCCAGGAGGAGGTCCCCCAGGCTCTCTTGGTTGGTCCTGACCTGAGAACCTGAGGTGCCTCCTCCCACCTTTGCAGGTGACCCCTCAGAGGACCCTTGGCCCCCAGACTGAGGGTCACGGAAGCTCCCTGGGCCCATGCGTGGCCCCGGGACTGTCCATGGCCTAGTGGGACTCAGCTGCAGCCTGGAGCATCTTGGGGCTGGCACAGCAGACACCCATAAATTAATGAAAATCACTCTGAAAACACAAGCAAAACAAGCTCATCAGCATCCAAGAGTTGTGCAGCAGCAGGGTGAGCCTGAGAGCTGCTCCTTCTGTCCATCTGGGGCTCCAGGGTGCTGCGGTCCATCACCAGAGGGACCAGGGGCTCATGGCCCTCCAAGGTCTTGGCATGGAGCTACTCACCCCCATCAACACGGAGAAGACCCACATCTTGTGGCTGAAGCAGGGGGGCAGTCTCTTCGACAGCTGCAGGTCGTTTGGCTTCGCATCCGGGGCGTAGCTGGTGGGGTCTTGCCGTCCCCGCTCCAGCGTGGGCATCCGGTCATAGGCCAGCTCCTCTCTGAATGGCTCCTGGGTCATGGCACTCAGGGACACCACCGCTGTGCTGAGTGTACAGCCACCTGTCACCAGTTCTTTATCTGGAATAAAATTATCACTGGTTTTGGCCACTCTGAAAAAGCTTCAATAAGTTGTTTCCAATAAATATTTTTTAACAAAAGAAATATTGTTCATACTGAAGTGCTATAAACTTGAAAAAGAAAATGAGCACTTGAAGCCAGGTGCGGTGGCTCACGCCTGTAATCCCAGCAGTTTGGGAGGCTGAGGCAGGCAGATCACCTGAGGTCAGGAGTTCGAGACCAGCCTGACCAATGTGGTGAAACCCTGTCTTAAAAAAATAAATAAATAAATAAATAAATAAATAAATAAAATATATATATATATGAACTTAAAAAAAAAAAGAAAATGAGCACTTGACTCTAAAACTGAAAAATATCAAACCTGAATGGTCTGGGTTCAGGACAAGATTCTAGGCTTTAAAAGCTTCATCGATCCATCTGGGTGCTCCAAGTACAATACCTGACAACTTCCATCGGCAGCTTTGTCCATGAACCCCTGACTCCGAGGACTCAAGCACATTAAACTGCTCCAATTGGTAGCTAAACAAGAGATTGCAAAATATGCCTCTACTCAACGGCTTAATGTCTGAGCACTTACCTCCCCCTCCACGGCTGCTGGGAGCACTGGTCTCTGGGCGAGGGACTACCAGCAAGAACTATTCACAGATGAAACAAAGGCTCAGCAAACTTGCACTGAAGGCAGGGGAAGGAGAGCTGCCTCCTGAATATCAATGAGGGGAGGAATCGGGTGGATCCCAGACGAGTTTCGCCTTGGTTGTATAAACCACTGCCTCGGAGCTGTCAGAACCTAACTAGGAAAGGAAGGGCCTGCCTGTACCACCCGCCACAGCCCTCGGGATCTCAGAAGAAAGAAGTGTTCCAAAGAATAGAATCCCACTGAGTACCCATTCCAAGCAGGCCCTATGTCTCAAAAGTAACTACTTTCTCAAAGGTCTTAGACAGCTTTTCAAGCAGGCTTTTTCTATCACCTTCACAAGGTCACAGAAGCATCCGCATACTCGGCAGGGCTGTGTGGCCCTTGGGCCACTCCGGATTCGGCCCTGCTGTTTGTGTGGGCAGCTCAGATGGCTGGTAGGCCTGGTCCCGCTGCCCCCTTTATCTCTGCTCACCAAGCAGAGAAAAAACACAGCAATGTGTGTCGCCCAGAGACACTGGCAGCCTGACAGTTAACAGCGACAGATTCTTTGTGCACATTGTAAAAAGGCTCAAACCAAAGTTTCTGAAAAACCAGCTCCTTAAAGCATGAACCCACATTAAAACTTGAGGAAAGTCCTCAGGTTTCAGACCACGGGATGTTCTGTTGTCTTAGTTTCAATCAAGCAAGAAGGATGAGAAATAATTTTCACAAACTATAATCTATGAAGTCAAGAACGATTTTGAATGGATTGAGAAACCTCCCAAACTTCTTTACTATCTTTTAAAGTGATAAATGGGATTAGCGGGAATTGGTCCAATTGGATTGAACCCTCCTGTGTTTCGTTTGAAAAAAATGTTAATCGGATTTCAACATTTTTTCTTTCAAAAGTTGTTCTCCAATAAGAAATACAAACAAACTGCCCGGAACCAGAGGTTGCAGAGCAAACCCCTCAGCTTCGCAGACCATGAGTCGTCACTTGAGAAATGCTCCCACGTTTCTGCTGCCAACACTAGTTTCCAGAAGAGGCCCTGTTATTTCATACACTCTTCCAACAAATTCTTGCTCCTAAAATGCCCTTCCTCCCTCTGCCTGCTGATGTCCCATCATCCTTAAACATTCAACAGACATTTCCGGGGTGGACAGAGAAGTGGACATCCTTCCTACAGGCTGTTTACATTCAATGGGGCACAGGAGTGCACAGGATAAACAAATCAGTGTGTTATACGGCGACATGGTTTGCCTGCGTCCCCACCCAAATCTCATCTTGAATTGTAATTCCCGCAATCTCCACATGTGGTGGGAGGGACCTGGTAGAAGGTAATTGAATCATAGGGGTGGTTACCCCCACGCTGCCGTTTTCCTGATAGTTAGTGAGTTCTCACGAGATCTGATGGTCTTATAAGGGGCTTTTCCCCCTTTTGCTTGGAACTTCTCCTTCCTGCCATCTTGTGAAGAAGGACACGTTTGCTTCCCCTTCCATCATGACTGTAAGTTTCCTGAGGCCTCCTCAGCCCTGTGGAACTGTGAGTCAATTAAACCTCTTTCCTTCATAAACACTTGACTCTAAAATTACCCAGTCTTGGGTATGTCCTTATAGCAGAATGAGAACAGACTAATACATACAGTGACACATGACTTTCTCTATGAGGGAAGAGAAGTTAGGGGAGAGAAATGAGGGGCTGTTGTTTGCAGGGGCCAGGGCAGGCCTCAGTGAGAAGGAGGCGTGGGGGGGGAGGCTGACAGAGCTGGAGCAAAGGATGCAGGTGAGGGAGGGCGGGCGAGGGCCACGCAAGGGGGGTGCAGGTGGGACAGCAGGGTGCCGGCATCTGTGGGTCTGGAGACGAATCTGCTTTGACTCTGAGATGGACCTGATAGAGGGGTCTGGGCAGAGCTATGTCCAGTCACTGGGTGGAGAACAGGCTGGGGAGTGGGAGGAGCAGGCGCTCCCTGACGTCAAGGTGGCAGTGGGAGGCGGTGAGGGGGTACTGGTTTCTGAACAGGGTTTGAAAAGCGGACACAATCTGCTGTCAGAGCGACGTTCTGTCTGAGCTGAGTTCTGTCTGAGCAGTGAGAACAGAGATGAGAAGACCAGGGTGGAGCACGTGTGGAGAAAGGATCTGGAGTTCGTTTCTGGACATGATGAGGCTGAGATGTCTGGAGCAACTGCTGGAACGGCTGAGTCCAGAATCCTGGGGAGCGGCTCAAGCTGGGGAGCTGAGGGGCAGCCCTGCAGGTGCATCGCCTCCTGCAAGCTGCCCTGGCAGGAAGCCCATGAGCCACAAGCCCTATGCAGCTCGTTCTCATTTCCATGGTCGTCTTCTCCCACCAACCAGTAAGTCTTTGGGACCCTGCTGCTCCCATGTGTGTTCCAGCACCCAGCCCAAGATGCAGGCTTAGCAGTGATTTGAAACGTTAGGGAGTGCACCACACTCTCCCCTCTCGCAGGAAGGAGCTATAGTTACACTCTGCATCCATGGACAGGCGAGACCCAGGCTGTCACCAAACTGACAGATCTGACCTAGTAAAATAAAGATATGTCAATCAACAATAAATCGGACCCTCCCCCCAACCAGCAACAGCAGAATACACATTGTTTTCAACGCCACATGGGACATTTATGAAAGGAGACCCCATGAAAGGGGAAAGCCTCAATCAGTATTAGACACTGAAGTCATCTAGGCATTACTCTCTGACCATGACCAAACTAAATTAGAAATCAATAACAGTAAATTATCTAGAAAATCCTCAAATATTTAGCAATAAATAATATACCTCTACAAAAAAAAA